TTAATATGCGTGAATGAGTATTTCTTTCTACGGAATAATCTCCACGTACAATATATATTATATAAACTAATTGGTAGTACCGAAGAAAACAAGTTAATTGATAATAAGTTAAGAATTTACATACACAGCATTAGTATTGAATCATCTCCACTTAAAACGTGGAATACTATAACATACAAAATTTAATTGAACAGAAATTTACTTGTTATCGAATTTTTTTTTTTAAATCAACCACACCACCCATCATTTTTGTCTTTGTTGTTATCCTTAAAAGGTAATGAATGATACAACGGTAACCCATTTAACGTGGTAGAGAGATCAACTATGGTGCTAAGTGACAATCACTATCTTTCTATATACAAACTTTTATTTATTTATATATATCGATGCATGTTTATTTTTAAAACAATGAAATGGAATACATATGTTATCCATGAATAATTTTAAACATATGTGATATCGCTGGATTCAATATTGTATTGTAATGTCGAAAGTTCACAATGATCTAGAAAGGGATCAAATATAATTTTTTCATGCGATTAATCTAATTTAGATTTTGATCTATGCTAAACGTAGTATTAAATACTTAAATATGTTTTTTAATCGATCTTAATACTTAGAGATGTATTATAATATTTATAAACGTACAAAATAATATATATTTTGCATAAATGTAGTAAATTTAAATTTTGATCAAACATATTTTGATATCATTATTTTGATCAACTTTGCATAAAAATATTAAAACTAATACAAATGTTATTTATTTCACTTTTTTTGGAAGTGTAAAATCAGTTTTTATTATTTGTGTAAATAAAACATGTGATAAATCAAATAAAATGTAAAAATATTTGTAAGTGTAGTTATCATGTACAAATAAATAATGTTGTTACAAATACAATAATGAAAAACTTCTTAATATATCTAATTTTAGAAAGAAAAAAAAGATGATATGGTAAGTGTAAATATTATATTTAGTTAAATTTAAATCTCTAAAACATGTATTAATGAATTTATGTTATAAAATTAATAAAAAATATGTAGATTTCCACCATAATATATAGTTTTAAATTTTAATATAAAATTTTTTATTTATTAATTTAAATGATATATTCTTTAAAAATAATGTCTACTTATTATTTTTGTTTAAAAATAATCTTTATATATACATCTTGACAAATTTCCAAACCATAATCCTTCCTAGGTGTTAAAAAAGGGAAAAGATTTAACTATTTTTTACTTCTTGTGCGCATCGATATAAAGTCGGCACTAGGAAGAAAGTATGGTTTCCCACTATTTTTCATAAACAAAAAACACACAAGCGCGTGTGAGAGACGCGTGGAAAGGTCAAAGGAGTGTAAGGTTGACAAAAGAATACTTTGGAGATTATTATCGAGTATTCAAAGCCTTTGACAATTTTTTAAAGTCAACCAAAAACAACAAACCATAAACCACTTCTGGTTTTAGTCTCATACACTAGGCGACAAAAACAGGATAAGCATCGAGATACTCTCTCTCTCTCTATATTTGTAAAAACGCTAAAGAGACAATTCCTCTCTCTCTATACATACCTGCTTTTAATACAAATACAACGTATTTACATACAAGCATTGTTGCTATTCGCCTCTCTTTCTTATTTATTTGCTTTTTATCACAATCAAATACTGTTTAATCTAGTTTCGTTCTAATTATAGAGCAAACATATGTCTTCTGACCGAAAGTCAAATAAATCTAAAACCGAACAAATTTGAAAAGAGATGTTTGCACAGAAATGGAATATATGTTTGCTAATTACAACAACTCGTGTAGTTTTATGCAAGATCGTCTATTGTTCACTAGCTAAATTATATTACTAATTTCATGTTTATTATAATAATGATGCAGTACCACCATCCGTACTACACAATTAAACTTTTGTTTAGGTTGTTTAATTTTTATATTCACAAGTGACAATAATATATCTGCAACTCTTTATTTTTTGTAACTTATAAAGCTATTTTATTTTGCCAATTAATGTGTATAGATCTCTATCAACTAATAATATATTATATATGGTTCACATGTTGAATAAATTGCATTGTCAAAGTAAGAGAACAAAACAAAACTTGTATTTACACTGTATTTTAATAATTAATTTTATTTTTTATAAAAATTCTCTTTCACTCTTTCAACCTTTTTTAATATTTTCCTCATTTCACTCTCTTTATAAACATCTCTCTCTACCCTTCAAAAGTCAGCG